TCTTATCTTATATTGTAGTATCTTATCTTGTCTTGTCTTATCTGGTGATTATCATTGGGAGGAGGGAGGCGCGAGCGGGAGGAAGAAGGAGGAGGAGGAGTGGGATGCGTCAGAGCAACACCAAGAACCCCAATCCTTAGGATATGGGGAATAATATCATTATTAGTAACAAATATACTAATAATAATACTTATATATATATATATATACATATAAAAACAAAAAAACAGTAATAATAATCATATTACTAATAAAACTAATAATAATAATTTTAATACTATAATAATAATTTTAATACTACTAATACTAATACTAATAATAACAAGAATAATACTATTTTTAGTATTGTTAATATTGTTATTACTATGAATAATATAACTAGTAATACTAATACTACTACTACTACTACTACTAATAATAACAATACTATTAATAATAATAATATTAATAATAATAATAATTATTATAATACCGATAATACTACTACTACTACTACTACTAATAATAATAATAATAATAATACTAATAATAATAATAAATAATAATATAATAATAAATAATAATAATATAATAATAATAATAATAAAATAATAATAATAATAATAATAATAAGAAATATAATAATAATAATAAATAATAATAATAATAATAATAATAAAATAATAATAATCATAATAATAAAATAATAATAATAATAATACTAATAATAATAATAATAATAATAATAATAAATCATAATGAATACTCATAAAATAATAATAATAAAAAAATATATAATATTAAGAACCATAGATAGGAGGAGGAGGAGAGGAGGAGGAGGAGGAAGGAGGAGGGGGGGGCATAGAGGAAAGAGGAGACGATGATGAGAGGAGGAGGAGAACATTAGAGAAGGAGGAGGAGGAGGGGTAGCAGGCGTGGAGGAGGTGGAGGAGGAGGAGAGGAGAGGAGGAAGTGAGGAGTAGGAGGATGAGAGGAGGAGGAGATAGGTATTGAGCAGGGCATTTAGGAGCATGAGATGAGAGGAGGAGGAGGAGGAGGAGGAGGAGGAGGAGCAGGGGCAGAGAGGGGAGGAGGAACTGGAGGATGGGAGGAGGGATTAGGAGGAGAGAGAGAGGAGGAGGTGTAGGAGGAGAGTAGGAGGGGGGAGGAGGTGGAGAGGTTGAGGAGAAGATGAGAAGGGAGGAGGGTTTTGAGGAGGAGGTAGGAGGGAGGAGGGAATGGACGAGGAGGCGGAGGCGGAGGAGGGAGAGTGTGTTTATGTGGGTGTGTGTGTGTGTGTGTGTGTTCTGCTTTCGTTCGTGACCCCCCTCTTCGCAGGCGCGGGCGGCGCTGGGCTGCCGCAGGGCGCGGGCGCCTCGGGCCCGCTGGTGCTGCCGGAGGTCGTGGGGGGGTGGGCTGGTCGAGGCGGAACAAGGGGGGGCCCTGGGGGGGAGTCTGTCGGCGCGGTAAAAAGGGTGGCTTTGTTGGGGCGGCAAGGAAGGGGTGCGGTAGGGAAGGGGGGCGGTAACAAAAAAGGGGTGTAACCAAAGGGGGCCGAGAGATGCCCGAGCTTGTACCTTCCCTGTTATTGGCTCGTGCAGCCGAGCGCACTGGAACACATCATCATCATCATCATCATCATCATCATCATCATCATCATCATCATCATCATCATCGTCATCATCATTATCATCATCATAATCAGCAGCAGCATCATCATCACCATCATCATCATCATCACCATCATCATCGACGTCGTCATCACCATCACCATCATCATCGTCGTCGTCATCATCATCATCATAATCACCATCATCGTTACCGTCATCGGCATCGTCATCATAAGCAACACCATCATCATCACCATCACCATCGCCATCACCTTCACCTTGATCGACATCAACATCAACATCAGCATAATCATCATCATCACCTCCACTATCACCATCATCATCATTCTCATTATGATTATCATCATTATCATCATCATACTATCTTCATCACCATCATCACTCATCACCATCATTCGCATCACCAATCCCATCATCGTTCCATCGGCGTCATCGTCAAACTCAGCACCATCATCAGCATTACCATCATCATCACCATCAGCATCGTCATCATCATCACCATCGCCATCACCACCATCATCGTCACGATTATCATCATCATCATCATCATCACCATCATCATCATCATCATCATCATCATCATCATCATCATCAGCATGATGGTGTCCGTTTCGACCCACCCCTGGAATGTTTTGCTGAGGAGGCGAGAAGTACAATAAAATTGCTTCAAGGCTTGCTAAACTCAGTTTGCCGCCGAGCTCGGCTCGGCGGGGGACGGTGGGGGGGTCGCGATAATCTGTACCAGATTGGAGCCATATGGTACGGTTGCGGAGCAGGCCGTGCCGCACACGCGAGGGCAGGGGGGGCCTTCACGGGCAACCAAAACACAACCTACCGAGCCCACCCGTTTTGGAGGGCCGAGGGGAGCCAGGCCGGGAACGAGGCCCACCGGCGAAAAGGCCCCCCAACAAGCTGGCACGCCCCTGCGGGCTCCGAGGCTCCAAGGAAAATTCCACGATCCCACCCCAAACTGTCGGTGCACATCAACACTCATGCTCTACGATTATTATCCCATGATGGTGTCCGTTTCGACCCACCCCTGGAATGTTTTGCTGAGGAGGCGAGAAGTACAATAAAATTGCTTCAAGGCTTGCTAAACTCAGTTTGCCGCCGAGCTCTTCCCACCTCCGCTTGCGAGCTGTATGTGTCTCAACAGCTTGGTCTTTCACCCGGGGCACAAAATGTGCTCGGACCTTGATGAGTTGAGAAGGAACCTGGAACACAATCAAAATTGAAAGCAAGCCCCCCAGGCCCGCCCTCGCAGTGTGCACCAGAAAACTCCTAAATCTTCGGTGACCACCCTAGACTCCGAACAAAACGAGCTGCAAAACACTCTTAACTGCCATATATACAGCACGAAGTAGCCTACGGGCAATGTTGATCCAGGCACCTGGGAGCCTGGCAACTTGAATTTCACGATCAGTCATGGACATGTAGCGTATCTCGGGGAGTGGGAGCCCCTCCAGGGTGGAGTTTATGTGCGCCACGACTGTATCTCTCTCTGAGCTGATGTCGCAGTCGAGGCTGCTCCAGACTGGGTTGCTCCACTGGACCTTGAAGTTTACGATCCGCTCGACCATGTGGACTCCGTAGAACCCGGACGGCAGCAGGTCAAGTGTCATGTGCAGCTCGCGGTATTGACTTGGCCAGATCATCATCTGCCATCTCTCTGACATGTGAGGTATGTTCACCGAAGCTTCAGAGATCGCGGTGGTGACCTGCTCGGCTCCTGGCGGGCGAGGCTCGCCTGTCAGGAACTCGCGCTCGATCCAGGCTTGCAGGATCTCGGGGTCGTCCGCTAGCCGCTCGGCGTGGCGCTGGCGGACGTGCAGGTTGGTAATGTCGACCCCGCGCCAGGCTTCCTGCAGGAGGCTCGCCGAGCTGCGGGACGACGTCACGGCGAAGTCGGACACGCCCTGCGCTGCCGTGATGACTGCCCCGAGGCTGCTGTCGACCACTTTGCCAGCCGAGACTGATACACTGGCCACGACACCCATCATGGTCCCGAGGTGGGCGAGTGGCCCGGCCATGTAGCTTCACCCGATCAGCATCGCGGCGACCGCCGCCCACGTCACTCCCCGAGTAGTCGAGCGTCCGCACCACCTTGCGATGAGCCAGGCCGCGCGCAACAGCGACCAGCTGCTCCAGCGCGCGCGCCTTTGCCCCGCGGCCGCGCCCGCTGCTAGCGGCTGCGCCACCAGCGGCTGCGGGGGCCTCCGTGCCGCCACGCCTGGGGCCGCTGGCGCTGGCGCCTCGGCCTCGGCCGCGCCCGCGCCCGCCGCTGCATCCCCCGGCTGCTGCGGACCCGCCAGCAGCCCATCCACCAGGGCGCCCAGTGCTGGCGCAGGCGACTGGGCTGGGGCCCGCGGTGCTGGCGAGGCCACCCGGCGGCCCCCCGCCAGCGGCGCTGGAGGGACTCCCTCTGTCGGCAGCACCCAGGCGCCGTCCTGGCCCTTGCGCCAACCCGCTGGCGGCATGCTGGAGGCCCTCCCCCTCGCCGAAGATGCCCTCCTGGAAGTAGTAGGGCAGCTTCTCGGCCGTCTCGCGGATGAGCGGTGCGATACCTCGCTGCTCAGCCTGCACCAGGACCCGGGAGGCGGTGACGACGTCCACGTAGATGTGGAGGCTGGACTCGGTGAGCCCCCGTCCTGCCTCCTTGATGTCCTGGAAGGGGACACCACGAGCCACGGAATCGCTGGCGAAACTTGGCGCGCCGAGTGTGGCGTCCAGTGAATGTCGAGGCCCAGGGCTGCTTCAAACTGCTTGAGCCGATGCCTGTGGTCGACAAGCGAGTAAGGAAAGAGGAGCCCCTCGGGCGTCGTTCCCAAGACTACTCGGTGCAAGAGGTTCTCCAGTACTCCGCCCTGCTCCAGAATAATGGCGAACTGCATCCTCTTGGCCTTTGTCCCCGACTTGGCTCCCAAGTGGATAACCCAATTTGGCCGCAAATCATGTCCCCCTCTCGACGATGGCCAGGATATGTCTTTTGCTCTGAGCCGAAGCATCTCCGCCGGGCGCAGGCCGCGGTCCACCTGCAGTAGCAAGCCTACGCCCAGCCGCGGCACGCCCCAGCAGGAGAAATAGATAGCGGCCAGGTTGGCCGGCGCGCGGCCGAGCGGCGGCGCGTGCTTCACCTCGGCCGACACTCGCCATGCGTCAGTCACCGAGTGGGACCAAGTCAGCTTCCTCCTCAGGCGTGGGAAGACAAACTCCACTGCCACGACAGCGTACTCGAAACTGCACTTGGTCATCTGCATGTCGTTCTTGTATTCGACAAGCAGGTCGTCCCACTGCTTGGGCCCGTCGGGGACAACACCGTGCTCGTCCAGGTAGGTCACGAACTTCATAGCCGCCGCCCTGTAGGCTGCCAGGGTGTGCGGCTTTACCTTCTCAACAGAAGTGCTGTTCAGCTTCCTCGGCCCCGACATGAGGTAGGCCGCGGAGCTCAGCACGAGTCAGGCACCTCGATATCTTATCAGCAGGCTGCCTGAGCGTCTCCACCCATGGAATCAGAATCTTCGTACGAGATGCCATCCCTGCTGCGGTCTTCTGACGCAACAGGTGGTTCAACATGTGCGCCGGGGACCTCCCCTTGCATACCGCACCCGAGACTGGCTGGTTGTCCTCCAGGATCGGCAGCACGGTGCGGTGTAAAGCAGGAGTGGCGGCCGCCAGTCTGCTGATCTTCACGACGCAGCGCCCCTCGCCCAGCGTGATGTGGTCGGCCGCCCGCCACCTCCCCGCTCCTACGATCGTCCAGTCCTCGTCGGGCTTGAACACTCGATCGGGGAGGAGGCTGAAGGGCTTCGTCCGACGGATGACCTGCTCGGGACGCCGCAATCCAGTAAGCTCGCCGTCCAGTCGCGCCACGGTGTAGCCCAAGTTGCCGCCCGTGTCGATGAAGTCCTTCGCGATGTCCTCGCTCATGTCTGTCACCAGGATGCCCCAACCGCCGTCGTCCTCCACGTTGGCGCCCATGGCGTCCGCCGCGAAATACACGGGGGCTGGCGGGGCTCCCAGGTCGGCGTACATTAGTGGAACTACTCGAGCCATAGCCCGCAGCTCCCTGCGGACGGTCGCCCAGGTGCACACCCTCTGGTGCGGGTGCCTCTCCAGGAGCCTGAAGACGGCGCTGGGTATGCAGAGCAGCTCCCTCCGAAGTAGTGCGCCCCAGATCCACACCCCCAGGAGCGACCGAAGCTCCTCGGTGCGGAGGGAGCGGGTGGCGCCCATCGCCTCCAGCTGCTGCACCAGCTCTCGTGCCCTCTTCGGGGGCAAGCGTAGCTGCGCCGGGCGCGCCTGTGGTGCGTAGCCCAGCACCTTCTGCATGTCGCTGGCCTCCGTGCGGTCGGTGACCACGAAGCCGGCCTCGGCCAGGGCATCCGCCAGCTGGTGCATCTTCCCAGAGGCCCGTGGGCCACAGCCGCTGCCACCTGCCATCACCACCCCGTCGTCGACGTGTAGGTAGAAGGCCATCTGCGGCCCATCCAGCACCAACCCCCGACCGCGAAGCACATCCTCGTTCCGCACGGCTACCGCTGGCGTCGTAGTGCTCCGCGAGCTCCAGGCGGTGACCGACCTGTCGGCCTCCGGCGGCCTGCGCCACCCGGTGCCGCCCAAGCCGGTCTGCTCGAAGATGGCCAGGGTCTGAACAATCAAGGAGCCCAGCGTTTCGCACATCTTCTCGGGGTACTGGGCCAGCGGGCTCGTGCGGAAGGTGCCGTCGGCCAGCTTGCCCTCGGCCGTCTCGTGGGCATGGGACCCGTCACACCGCAGCTCGTTCAGGTCCTCCAGCCCCTGCAGTGTGCCGCTCAGGCACGTGGGCTTCTTCGTCCGTCCGCCCAACATGCATTGGTCCAAGCACGCTCTCCGCGACGAGCGCCTCGTCTCGAAATCCAGCATCTCAGTCGTGTTCCAGATGGATGGGTAGGGCGCATGCCCTGGGTCCTCCGGGTGCTCGATGAGGAAGGCGCCGCCACTCTGGCCGCACGCCTCGCAGAGCGCCAACAAGTTCAGCGTCAAGGTGTTACTCTCCGCGACTCTGGCGGCCTCCCAGTCCCTGAGGCCTGGCAGCCCCCAGGGGCACCGCCGCGAGCGCACCGGCGGCGGACCAGGTCGGCGACGATTGTAGCGTGCCCGCGACCAGGTTGAACAGGGCGGACCGCCCAGTACGATATCCACCCAGCCGCCCTCGCACAGCTCCATCAAGGAGGAGAACGTGGAGGGGTTGGCCAGGTCCCACCGCGGGTCGTCCAGGAGATCGGCGGAAAGGAAGAGCACCCTCAAGCTCCGCTCCTTCGCCAGCCTCTCTACCACCTCCTGCACGTCACCACGCCGCCGACGGCCAGCGAAGAGATGCATCACCACCATCACACGCTCGTCATCTCTCTTCGCCCGCCTCACTGTCTCCAGCCACTCCGCCACGCTGTAGCCCCTCGGGCTAGGCGGCGCGGCCCGGCAGCTGGACTGCTGCCCTAGCCAGTCGTCGTCGTAGCGGTGCTGCTGAGCGTCCTCAGGCTCGGCATCCCCGCGGCTGCCAGCCTCCAGCCCCCCGTCCTCGGGCGGCGAGGTGCGTGGCGCACCGCAGGCCGCGCCGTCGGCGGGAGCCGCGGCGCCCGCGAGCGCCCCCAAGCGTGCGCCTACGCCCAGCAGCGCCCTGCCGATGATCGCCATGTTGACCGTCATGAGCAGGTGCACGGAGTGCGAGCCGCCCATGGCCAGGCGATGGTAGCAGGGGGCTATCCAGCCCGTCGGCCCCACCCTGTCGCGCATACGCTGGCTGAGCTTACCCCACACCCAGCAGGCGCGGATCGGCGGGCATGCCTGCCACCTGGCCATCCAAGCGGGGACGCGGAGGCGGGTGAAGGCGTTGTCCTCGTCGAAAGCAGCCACTCCCCACTCGTCCGTCGGGACACACATGGAGGCGATGGCCGCCCCGCCGTGCATCCCGTGGTCGCCGCGCTGGTGAGGGTCCGCCCACACGTAGTTGCTGGCACACATCATCAGGACCTTCCGCTGCTTAGCGGGGTCCTTCTTAGGTACACAACTAAACCCGCAGTAGGCCTGGACATCGTTGGGGTCCTCGAACGTCCACATGTCCTTCGGCAGATCGGCCCGCATCAGGTAGCGGGCGTACTCGGACGTCGAGCCCCCCACGAAAGCGAAGCGTTCCTCCAGCTCCTCGAAGAGAACCCCGGACTTGCCGCTGTAGTCCAGGACGTTCTGCTCGTCCGAATAGTACTGGCGCTCGCCGTCGGGCAGCGCCTCCAGCAGGTCCACGACCATGTCGTCCGGAGGTTCTGCCACCGCCGCTGCGCACATCATCACGTGCTTGCTCACACCCTTGCGCTCTCCAGTGTAGGCGTCCTGCGGTCCTCTGTCGCAGGCAAGATCCGTCCCTTGACCGCCTGTCGGGGCAAGCCCCCGGCAGTCGCGCTCGTACCGCGCTGCGTCCTGTAACGCATACTGCTGCACGAGCTGCCAGGCCAGCATCATCTCGTTGTCGCTCGCCTCGCGCTGGCCCGTTGGTCTCGCCTCCAGGGATCCGCGGTCCATCCCGTTCATGAGCTCGATGAGCCCACAGGCCCGACGCCACACCCGCATGCGTCGTGCCCAGCGCGTCCTCAACCTGCCTGAAGAGGAAGCTCCTTGTTGTGGCCGATGGGGTAGAGGTATGGGAAAGAACGACCTGGCCTCGGCCTCCTTCCACTGCAAGGCCTGCGTCAGCGAGCCTGACAAACCCGTCATTGGCATTCTAGGCTGCACCCGCGGCGGCGGGGCACCTGCTCGGACCGAGGGCGGGTCGTAAGCCCCTCGGTCCGCCAGTGACCGTCAGGCCTGGGGTTTGCCCCGGCCCGAGGGCTTACCCCCTCGGCCGCGGCCGCGCCCCCCGCCATCGCCACCTCGGCCTCGGCCGCCGCTGGCTACCTCGCTGCCGCCCCCCGCTACACCTCCTTGGCCCCCGCCACGGCCGCCGCCGCGACCCTCGTGCTTGATGGCGGCGTGGACCCTCTCGTCGCGCTGGTGCTCCGCCTGGCTGTGGGTCGTGGCCTCGGCCACCAGCCATGTCGGAGCCAAGTCGGCGGCTGACCCGGGCGGGCGGACAGCCACCATGGCCGCCCCCCCAACCTTGTCCTTCGTCCGCATCTCGTAGACGTAGCTCGCCAGCCGCCTCAGGTGCAGCTCCAGCGCATCGTCGGACGCCAACCGTGTGAGCAGCTCGGACTGGTTCGCGCAACCGCCCAGCAAGTAGTCCACGTTGGTGGCGGCAGTCCACAGGTCGGTCCAGGCCGCCGTGTGTCGCTGGCCCGTCACCTCCTGCGACAGCCAGTCCCGCGCGCTGGCCGCCCCCGCGCCCCGTATGGTGCGGTAGATCTCCGGCGCTGCGCGCCGCAGCTCCGGCGGGAGGCTCAGGTTCCATCGACTGTCCTCCCGATGCTGCTGGGTCTGCGGGGCCACGGCCCACCCAGGGGAGGCGTGCATGCCCCCGCCGTGAGGCGCCGTAGGGGAGGCGACCAGCGCGTCCAGCTCCTGCTGCAACGACTCTCCTGGCGGGGACGTCGTCCCCGCGCCCACGTAGCCGTGAGTCTGCAGCACTCGTCGTAGGTCAGGGTGCAGCCCCCTGGCGCCATCCACGGCCGCGATCCTCTCCCAGAAGTGCCAGGCCCAGTCCTCGTTGATGGCCGCCTGCGCCTGGAACTCGCGCAGCGTGGCGCCCACTATCTCCACCTCCCGTCCTAGCTGCTCCGCATCTGCCGGAGCGTGGGGAACGTGGAAGCTGAGCCCCGAAGCTGGGACGGCCACCTCCGGTGTCGGCTGTGGCTGCTGCTGCTGCTGCCGCTGCATGGCCGCTGTCTGGCTGGAGGGGCTCGGCACCTCGCACCCCTGGGCGAACGCCCGCAGCGCCGACAGGTCCTGCGCGCCAGGCTTCCCCACAGCGGTACCCGCGCCTGCGCCCTCGGCGGGTGGGGCCCACGGCGGAGGCGGCAGTGCTGCAAGCCCCGGCGGGTGCAGCGGGCCCGCAGGTTCCTCCGCGGCCTCGGCGGCGGTCCGGTCCAGGCCGTCCCCGCCGCGCCTCCGCGCCGCGGCGAAGGCCGAACGTCGCCGACAGCGTGTCCACCAGGCGACCACCCGCTCGGGCACCCGCCGTACCAGCAGGACGGTCCCGACCAGCCCTACAGCCCCGCCAGCCAGGCGGTGTCGCACTGAGTCGGCCCCCAGCACCACCGCCAGGCTCGACAGGAAGAGACCCATGCCAAGGTGCAGCACCCAGTCGACGGGCAGCGTGTTCCCGTCGGCCCCCACCGCTCGGGCCCAGATCCGATCCGCGATCGTCTCCCAGCCATCGGCGTCGGCCGCCACTCGTCTGATCCGACCCTCCGTCTGCGTGGCGAAAGTGGCGGCCTCTGTGAACCCCCAGAGGGCCTCGGCCATCGCGGAGCCTGGCACCTCGGGGTTCCCCGACGCCAGGCGGACGGCCACCGGGTCCAGCGCCGCCTCCAGGCGCCGTGCCTCGTCCCGCTTGGAACGGGGGGCTCGCCCTGCGCTCAGCGTCGACCTCACCTTCAGGACGAGCTCGGCGACGTCGTCGTCTGTGACGTCGGCACCCCCGCCCCGCAGCGCCTCGGCCCCCGCCTTCTTGGCGTCTGCAGACACGGCCATCCAGCTCTGCCTGGCGTCCGCCGCGCCGCAGGCCCACAGCGCCCAGCACACCAGCTCGCCGCGGCCTGCTGCTCCTGGGCTGCTCGCCGCGGCCTCGCACAATCTTCGATTCCACGGGTGGAGCCGCTGCTCCCGTCAGGGCGCCATGCCGCGCCCTGCTGCGAGGTGGGCTGGGCGCCCAGACCTCGCGATAATCTGTACCAGATTGGAGCCATATGGTACGGTTGCGGAGCAGGCCGTGCCGCACACGCGAGGGCAGGGGGGGCCTTCACGGGCAACCAAAACACAACCTACCGAGCCCACCCGTTTTGGAGGGCCGAGGGGAGCCAGGCCGGGAACGAGGCCCACCGGCGAAAAGGCCCCCCAACAAGCTGGCACGCCCCTGCGGGCTCCGAGGCTCCAAGGAAAATTCCACGATCCCACCCCAAACTGTCGGTGCACATCAACACTCATGCTCTACGATTATTATCCCATCGCATCAGTCATCATCATCATCATCATCACCATCATCATCATCATCATCATCATCATCATCATCATCATCATCATCATCATCAGCATCATCATCATCATCATCATCATCATCATCATCATCATCATCATCATCATCATCATCATCATCATCATCATCATCATCATCATCATCATCATCACCATGAGCAGCAGCAGCAGCACCAGCGTTATCACCATCAACATCAATACGACACACACACACACACCGGGGTGCTGCTGGGGCGGCAAAAATAATGGGGGGCTCCGGGGGGGGAGCCGTGGGTCACGTCAGGTTCGCCACCCCTTTCGGGTCTGGCTCTCGGGTGCTTTCCGGCCCCCGCGCTGCTTTCCGGCAGCTGCGCCTCCGCTGGGAGCGTTCGGGGGGTGCTCGGCTCGCGTCGACTGGGCGCGGGAGGCCCGCGGGCGCGACCCGAAAGCCGCGCGACGGGGGGGCCCTTCGGGTCGGACGACAGGGGGGGGGCGGCTAAGGGGAAAGGGGGGTTACGAAATCTGCCGCGCCCCCACCTCCTCCTCCTCCTCCTCCTCCTCCTCCTCCTCCTCCTCCTCCTCCTCCTCCTCCTCCTCCCCCTCCTCCTCCTCCCTCCTTCCTCCTCCTCCTCCTCCTCCTCCTCCCCCTCCTCCTCTTTTTAGAGACGACTCCCGGCGCCAGGAGGCGCCAGGACCCTCGGCTGCGTGAGCTGGGTCGCCCCCCCCCCCCCCCCCCCCCCCCTTGGCTTCCCCCCCCCCCCCCCCCTTTCGTCCGGCCCGAGAGGTGTGGAGAGAGTCGGGTGGCGATAGCCTCCAGGCCGCCCAAGTGGGGTCGAAGTGCAGTGGGTTCGGCAGCAAATCGTGGGAGTCTTGTGTGCCCTGGTACTTCTGTCTTTAGCGTCGATCGGCGTCGATTAGTTTCTTGGAGTCAATGCGAGAGCGCCCATTTAGCGCCCATTTAGCGTCGATTCGCGTCGATTAGCGTCGACTTAGCGTCGATGAGCGTCGATTTAGCGTCGATTAGCGCCGATTCGCAAGAGCCGACAAGATGGTATCGGAGGCTCCCATGAGTTACCGCAGAACCCGAGAGGTGTGGAGAGTCGGGTGGTGATAGCCTCCAGGCCGCCCGAGTGGGGTCGAAGTACAGTGGGGGCGCGCATGAAGAAATCATACGCTTTTCGTCGGGGTATCCTGGATTTCTTCGCTCCACGCGCTGCGCAGTGACTTCCCGCAGCCGTGGAAGAAGCTGCTGCGTTCAGGGTGCTCTGGGTTTCCCCTCAGGTGCACCTCGCGCGCGGGTTTTCACGGTTGGGTTTCTTGCTTGTGAGGGTTTCTTGCGGCCGCGCCCGCACTGTAGGTGGGGTCGGTGGATCGCGCCCTATTGCTGATGCATCGGCGATAGGGCTCGATTCGGGGCGTCGCCGCCTAGGCATCGCCGATACATAGGCGATGTGGCGCGATCCGCCAACCCGATCTATCCGCACCCCTTCTGGGCGGCCTCCACAGGCGAAAAAGAAAACACGGCATAAGGACGCCCGCGCTGATTTCTCGGACAAAGCGTCGGAGGTCCCCCCCTGGCGGCTGGCTTCTGGGTCGTCAAAGAACGGCTCGGGATCAAGAGCTGGTCCGGGTGGAGGCCAGAAAAGAGGGTCCCGCTTTTCGGTTGTCCGGCGGCTCTTGTTGTTTGTCGTATAAAAATAAGCCTGGCGAAGAATCCAACCATCTGCAGTTGTGAGTACCGCAATTGTGACTACCGTCTGAGGTGGAACTCTCTATGGGGCAACGCCCGCATGCTGGTCGTGTCGCTGGGGCCTTTGGTCGAGCTCCCTGTGGAGCCACGAAACGTATGAGGGATGTGCCGAAACGGGGGTGTCGCCCACATGCAGGCTGCGCCATTGTGGCTTTAGGTGGAGCTCCTGTGAGGCCACGAAACGTGTGAGGGGTGTGCCGAAGCGGGGATGTCGCCCACATGCGGGCTGCGCCACTGGGGCCTTAGGTGGAGCTCCCTGTGGAGCCACGGAACGTGTGAGGGGTGTGCCGAAACGGGGGTGTCGCCCACATGCGGGCTGCGCCACTGAGGCCTTGTGTGGAGCTCCCTATGGGGCCACGAAACGTGTGAGTGGTGTACCGAAGCGGGGGTGTCGCCCACATGCTGGCTGCGCCACTGGGGCCTTGTGTGGAGCTCCCTACGGGGCCACGAAACGTGTCAGGGGTGTGCCGAAACGGGGGTGTCGCCCACATGCGGGCTGCGCCACTGGGGCTTTAGGTGGAGCTCCATGTGGGCCACGAAACGTGCGAGTGGTGTGCCGACACGGGGGTGTCGCCACATGCTGGCTGCGCCATTGGGGCCTGAAGTGTGGCTTTTTGTGCTGCCACCAAGCGTGTGAGAGGTGCGCCGAAACGGGGGTGTCGCCCACATGCGGGCTGCGCCACTGAGGCCTTGTGTGGAGCTCCCTATGGGGCCGAAACGGGGGTGTCGAAACGTGCGTGTGGTGCACCGAAACGGGGGCGTCGCCCACATGCTGGCTGCGCCATTGGGGCCTTGTGTGGAGCTCCATGTGGGCCACGAAATGCGTGAGGGGTGTGCCGAAACGGGGGTGTCGCCCACATGCGGGCTGCGCCACTGGGGCCTTCGGTGGAGCTCCATGTGGGCCACGAAACGTGTCGGGTGTGCCGAAACAGTAGACTGAGGCGGAGAGCAGAGGCAGGGATGGGAGGAGGGAGGAGGAGGAGGAGGAGGAGGAGGAGGAGGTTGAGGAGGAGGAGGAGGAGGAGGAGGAGGAAGGAAGGAAGGAAGGAGTGACTCGGGGCGCTGTCCCTTCAAAACGAGGGTCCAGCGCCACATGGCGTTTTCCTCGCGCCCCAGGGGGTAAGCAAACACGGACCCAGGGCCACTGTTTCAGGGGAAGGGGTCGGAGCCTCCTGGGGCCGCGCATGGGGAAAATCACATCGTCGGATGTATGGACCTCGGGTGTTGGCACAAGTGTCCCTGGCTCAGGGTGCCTCCAGCATTTTCCGGGGACTCCAGAGCACCCCTCATCAGGGCCCAGGAGCTCCAAGACGGCGCGACAAGCTGGGGATAACTTGGGCTAGGAACACCTCTGGCAATCTCCGACTCTTGGGGGGTGCGGGGGTCGTGGCTTCGAAGGAGGCCCCTTCCCTCTGCCTCCTGTAAGCTCTTCGAAGACCCCCCTGTAGTAGGCGCACCTAAGACGGCATCCACCCGCCAGCATGTGCCTTCATGTTCCCTCTGCCCCCCCCCGACTGCCCCCGGGACCCGGTGGAATGTTGAGGCATGCCAGACGGAGCAGGTGCCTCACTGAAGCCAGGAATCTCGAGATATTTTTCCACTGTCGCTGAGCTCGGTGAAAGCACACAGTGAGTTCATCAGAAGTTTTCCTTCCGTGGGCTCAATGGCATCACCTTCCTGCTCTCAGTGAGCTCAGCTGCCCACCCCCACCACCGCCTCCGCTCGCCGCCGCGGAGGTACTGCCCGTCGCAGCCCCCCCGGAGGCGAAGCACGCGTCCTCGCCGCTCAAGCCCGTGAGGGCTGCCGGCGTAGACGATTCTGGCAGGTCTATCGGCTCCCGATCGTCAGTCGGCGCCCGCGCCCGGCCCGAGTGGCAGGCCCACCGATCGATCCCCCGCCTCGTCCTGGTTGTTCTCCCGCCTTCTCGCCACTGTGCCCCCCTCCCCTCTCCTGCGCCCCCTCCTCTGCCTTCAAGCTTCCTCTCCCCGCCCTCCTCGCCCTTCTCCTGCGCCTTCTTTGTCTTCCCCCCTCTCGTCCTCGTCGCCCTCCTGCTGCTGCTCCTCCTCCTCCTCCTCCTCGCCTTTCCTCTGCTCCGTCCCTCCCCGCTCGTTCCTGGCCCGCGTGGCTGCTCGGTGGGTCGCTTCCGAGGCTGTTGGCACGCCCGTCTCGCTCATGCTCGCCACCCCGCCACCGAAGTCCACCATGAGCAGCGGCTTCCGCGCGGACGCGCCCGCGTTCGTGCCAGGCTGCACGGCGGAGACGCCCTCCCCGCCGGCGGGCCCCCGCGGCGGCCTGTGCCTGTTCAAGGAGCCTCCCGCCGCCAGGGTGCAGTCGAACCGCATAGCACTGATGAGCAACTTTCCAAGGTTACGCCTGCATCATCCCCCCTTCGGCCCATCCTTGGCCGCTTTCGCTGGCCGCGCCCCGCTCGCAAAGTGTCGGCGACACGGCCTTCCAAGGCACTTGCATCCTTACCGCGCGTCCTTGTTGTACGGGTTGACTGTAAGTGTCCAGAGCCCACCGCTTCCCCAGTTCTCCGACGATGTGACTTTTTTCCGCCCTGGCGCGTTTCTACGATTTCGGCTTCTGGGGCCCGTTCTAGTCGGCCACGCGTAAGAGTGATCTTTCGCAGGAGTCGCCTTTCGTACGGATCCACGGGTCTTTCCTGCACTGGCTTGCGCGCCTTCCCCGCGCCCCCCTAGGGCCGCGCACCGCAGGTCGCTCTTACGTGTAATTCGCCCATGTGGGGCTCGGACCATAACAGATGTCC